CTCTTAAGTCCAGGCCAAGCAGGGCATGATGACACTTGGGGGCTGGGGCAGAAGGACTGCCACAAATTCAAACCCAGCCTGGGTTATGCAGCAAGAAAAAAAAAAAAGGTTCAGGACATGAGCTTTTCTCTGCTGTGATGTGTTGATTTGCCACAGGGTCAAAAGCAATGGGTCTGCTAAACTATGGATTGAAACCTCCAAAACCATGAGCTAAAATAAACTTTTCCTCTTCATAAATTGATTATCTCAGTATTTTTGATACAGTAACTGTCTTAGTTACTGTTTTCTCCGAGACAAAACATTCACACCCAAAGTTATGGAAGGAGAAAGGTTTAGTTAGCTCTCAGTTTATGGGGGGTTTCAGTCTTTAGAGCGGGCTCCAAGGCAGGGTGGTATGGCAGAGGGGTAAGAGTTCAAAGTGGCAGAAGACAGGAAAAACAGCAAAAGCAAAAAGGGGAAGAACAAGCCTCTTTTCCTCCTTGCTATTGTAAGCAAGCTACCACCCCATGGGGCAGGTGTAGCACTCACACCATCTCCTTGCCCTCCTCTTGCACCTGATGAGCATGTTTACAAAGTGAGGACCCTGGCCCCTCCTGAACTGCTTCATTAAACTTCTAAACTTTTCAAGTTGACACAATGTATCAACCATAGCAGTAACAGAAAATCTGAGCAATACACTGGGATTCATACATGTGTTTTGGATGGGTCTTTTCATAAATCTCCTAAAATATGCTGTATCAGTCAGTGTTTTACTGGAGAAACAGATATAACACAGGCTGTACAAGTTATAAGAAATTACAAGATTGGCTTACGATGATCAGCCAGAGAGTTGTATGGGGAAGTGTGCAGAGGGTGTCTGCACACTGAAGAGTGAAGGAATCAGTCCAGGGTCTGGAGTTCACTGCAGAGTTCCGTGCAAGTCCATACCAGGAGGCTGATGAGTCTGCAACGGAAGGCTGAAGGATCCAAGGCGGAAGCCGAAGAGTCTGCACTAGAAGCCAGGAGACTAAGTGCAAGCTGAAGACGAAGACTGGAGCTCCTCCAAAAGGAATGGAAGTGCCTCTGTCCTTCTTCATTTCCCTTTTATATTATCTAAGTGATGATCCACCCTAGGGTGGCTCCTCTACACCCTAGGGTGTAGAATTGCTGGGCCAATTACTGAGCCAAGTTTAGTTGTGCTTCTAAACTTCTCAAATTGACGTAATCAATCAACCACTACATATGCAAAACCAGCTTGGTGCAGTGGAGCACACTTGTAATTCCAGCTATTCAGGAGACTAAGGCAAGAGGATCACAAGTTCCAGCTCAGCCTGTGTGACATAGTAAGACACTGTTTCAAAAAAAAAGGCTAGACACAGTGGTACACAACTGTAATTCGAGCATCTTTGGAAAGTTAAGCCAGGAGTATCCCAAATTGGAGCCCAGCTTGGGAAACAGCGACTTAGTGAGATGCTGTCTCAAAATAAAAAAAATTTAAAAATGGGCTGGGAATGTGGCTCAGTGCAAGGCAAAAAAGAAAAAAAAAGTAAAGGAAAATCTCTGTACAGTATATGTGCATTTCTTTGAGAGGATCCCCTGACTTTATCAGATTAACTCGTTAGAGTATTGGTTGGTTTTATTTTGCTTTGGTTTTCTGAGACAAGATCTTCCCAGGCTAGCCTCAAACTTGCAGTGAGCCTCCTGGTTTATTCTCCCGAGTTCTGGGATTACAGCCATATGCATTACCATGCACAGCTAGTGTTTTTTGTTTGTTTGTTTTTCATTTTTTGTTTTTGGTCTTTTTGAGACAGGCTCTCACTATGCAGTTCAGGCTGGCCTTGAGCTCACTTTGTAGCCCAGGTTGATTTTAAACTCACAGTGATCGTCTCTGATCCTCCTGCCTCAGCCTCCCAAATGCTGGGATTACAGACGTGTGCCATCATGCCCGATCACACAGTAGTGTTTTTTTGCTTTTTTTTTTTTTAGAGTGGGTCTTGCTCTGTTACCCAGGCTGAGCTTGAATGGTGTTTTTTGAATTAAAAAGATGAAAAAATCAGTGCAGCACAGTGGGGTTTCTTTACTTAGGCACTATTGTCACTGACCCGGATAAATCTTTGTCATGTGTGTAAGGATGTCCTGTGCATTTTAGGTTGTCTAGTAACATCCTTGGCTTTTGCCTATAGAGTTCAGAAGCATCCATTAGTTGTGACAATCAAAAAAGTCTGACATGGCTGAATGACCTCTGCGGACAGAGAACTCCTGACCTTCTTGGAAGAATGAAGGAACAAAATGGTAAACAGGCGAGATACTGATTAAACCAGTCCTAGATGCAAACTGCAGCTCTCCAACTATGATCTTTGGTAAATTACCTTATTTCAGTCTTATCCAGGAAACTTGATAATATTTCCTCATATGTAAATTGATGTTCAAATACCTACCTATAAGGTTTTTTAAGATTAAAAGTAATAAAGCATGTAAAGCATTTTGCAGAGTGCCTTATATTGTAAGCAATCAATATATGATAGCTACTAATATTGTCCAGACCATAGGTGAGACCATAAGCATCTACTCATGTCCTTCAATTATTCATTCAACAGGTATTTATTTACTTATTTGTACCGGGAACCAAACTCAGGACCTTGTGCTTGCCAGGCAGGCGCTATGCCACTGAGCTATATCCCTGGCCCCTCAACAGCTATTTATTAACTGGTGTCTGGGTGTGTCAGGTCTTAATCACCTGGATTACCTAAATTATTCCTCTTCAATAAGAGAATTGCTTGAGCCCGGAAGTTGGAGGGCAGCCTGGACAATATAGCAAAACGCTGTCTCAAACAATTTATCCTCTTCAACCCCCTATGTGATAGGTGCTATTATGTGTTTATGCTTTGTAAATGGCACTTTTAATATCAACACATTATTTCATCCTATCTGTTTTTATTCCCGGTCCGCCCTTCTGAGATCCAGAACCACACATATTACCTAGATGTCCTTCCAAGAAACTTTAAATTGGGTACGTTTTGCCAATAAGCCTAGTGCTTAGCACCTACTAAATCTTCTATAAAAATAAGTTATTATTGGTCATCAGGGTTATTTTTTTTTAAGCCCCTGCCGTCTGATCCCTTTCCTTTTGCTGTTCCTCAGTAGGATCCCAAAATCACTTGTTTTCTGGCAGCATCCTTGGCCTTGGGTTAAAGGCCTGATTAGACATCCTGTGGGGAGCCCAGAGGAGAATCCAGCCTGGTTCTCCCACCTGCAGGGAAGAAATGAAGTGATGAAAACGAAAACACTGCCATGCCAAGTTCATAGTACCCCAAACAATCAGTTTGGTATTGAGAATTTGCTTTTTTTTTTTTTTTTTTTTTTT